TCGTATGTCGGAATTCAGCAAAAAGATATCGAGATATAAGTTTTGGTCCAAATCGCCCAGCCCTACGTTACAACCAACGACTGTAGGCTGCGCCGATGTTCACTCTGGTTTTAACTCTTTGCTTCACCTCCAGAGACATTACTCTATTACTTTTACTTTCAGGCTCTGCCACGGCCCCAACAAAAGAGAAAACGTATTCTTCTTGTGCTTTTTATTGACAGTCGGCTGCCAGAAAAAGCTAACTGCTAGCCTCTGTAAGAGCTACCAGCCCAGTTCACTCCACTCCAACTGCTACACCAACTCTCGCTTATTCCATTTTAGAGCATTTTCTGCCCAGCAGAGGGCAGCAGAGTGCTGTTCCATGTGGAGCTGCTTAACTTTCTGGTTCAAGAACCACTGAAACTGTTTTGAAAGCAATAACTTAAAGCAGAGGTGGGGTATCTCGGTCTTTTAAGGGCCCCTATCCTGTACTCACCTGGTTTTAATCAGTAGGTGATTATAAGGCTTCCGCAGAGCTTTACGACCAGTTGAATAGGCGATTCAATGACTGAATCAGGAGTGTTGGAGCAGGGAAACAACTTAAACATGCAGCTTACTGACCCTTGAGGGCCAGGGTTCCTCACTTCTGGCTTAAAGTGGTGAAAATACTTCAACGTTTTTTTTTTCCTGACCAGATTCTTTAAAATGTTTTTCTATATTTATAACTAGAGAATTACCAGTTTGTCCATTAAATCCTTAAGTTTAAATTGAAGGAACAGAATATGACAGCATGTTTATAAATGGACCGTACCATCATCACTGTCAGCCAGGTCCTTGGGAAAGCGGCAGACGCTGGGCGGTCTGGAGTGGCCCAGAGTGGAGCCGGCTGCTCGAGCATCTTGGTGTTGAAGGTGAAGCCTCCGCGCCTCTGCCAGACCACCAGCCGCTCCAGGACTCTGCAGGAGTTTGCTCCTCTGCAGGGCCACGCTGTAGTCTGGAGGTCGGATGTGAGGCGGCCGGGGGACAGGACCCGCCAACCCACCAACTACTCCATCTGTGAGCCCAAGATCCCCAAGAGCCAGACCCTGGTAGCCTGGAGGGGTGGGAGGGGGAGCTCGGTAACGCTCATCCTTGGTGGGGGAGGTGACACAGTACACTGGATGGATGTGCAGATGGAAATAAAATAGGGATGTAGGAAAGAAAGAGGAGGAGTGGGATGAGGAATGATGGGTGAAAAAGGAGAAAAGAACAAGGGGAAAATAATGGGAAAAATTAAATTAAGGTGATGCTTTACTAATAGGACACACAACTACACATGCACCAACGTGTGTGAAAAAAAAAAAAAAACATTTACGTCCAATGAGATGGATGGCTGCAATTCATACAGAGACAACTAGAGCTGGAACAAATTACTATTATTACTGAATGATGCTTTTGCTTTTTTTTTTTAAATAATGAGCAAAACATCAGACAATAGTTCAAATTTCATCGCCTCAAAACCCGAAGCATAAAAACTTTAATTTAGACGAAAAGTAACTAAAGAAATGGGAAGTTTGACCCAATTCGGACAGAGAGGCTTAGACTTATAAAATCAGATTGTTTTAGCAGAATAACAAAAACGACAAAAAGAAAAAAAATCTTTTTTTCATGTAAGACTAAAAAGCAAAGCAGACCCCTGTCTCTAGTTAATAAGATCTAGATTAAAACCTGACTTCTTCCTGCATGACCACATAAACTCAAACGTTAAGCTGAACCTTCCTGTTGGACTCGACGGTTCCTACATCATGTTTACTGCCCATTTGCCACCTGTTCCCTCACCTATTAGGCCCTTCTCTGTGCTTGATGTCACCGTTTTGTAGGCTGGGTCTGTGCTTTGCCCTCCTTCCTCGTTGGCTGGTGAGGAGGGGTGCTCCGAAGTGTTTCGCCGCTTTACGGTTCCATAATTCCCCTCAAAGTTATCAGACGGGGAGTTGGATGAAGCCCAGCTCTGCCGGAACTGCTCATTCAAATCCGAGCTGGAGTTTCTGGAATGCTGCGGCTTGGCGGTGTCGTCTCTGGCCCACGCGGGTCCGGGGACCTCCACCTCTGCTATAGAGCGGGCCAGCTGCGTGTGCTTAAATCCCCCCAGGTGCGTATGAGGCAGAGAGAGTGGGGGGCCATGGATACCGTGGTCCCACGGTCGGCAGGAGGAGGCAGGGAGGCTCTGGAAGGAGTCGTGGGAGTTGGAGGAGCAGGACGTCCAGCTGCCACGTCCGCTGTCGGCCACAGAGTCCAAAGAGATGTGGTCCGGGGTCAGCTCCTCCGTGGAGAGAGAGGAGGTGAAGGCGCAGGCTCGCGCTGGTCGAACCAACACTGACGAACTGCTGTTCATAATTAAAGGAAATAAGAAAAGCACATCTGAGTGTAAAATAAAATCAATATCTGTTTACAGCAACACTGAAGACTTTTAAACATGTTTATTTTGCTATTGCTTTAAAACTAGTTTCAGTGGTTCTTGAACCTGAAAATTAAGCTACTTCACACTGGACAGCACAGTGTAGCCATAGACATGAATACATAGATGCCCCGTTGGGTGCTGGCGAGCCTAAGAGCGTCGCCGCCATGTTGGATGGGTCTCCTTGCTCTCTAAAGTCAACACAGATTGAGCATCTATGTGCGTTTTCATGCAGCCTAATTAAAACCACCGGCGTACTATTGAAAACAGATCAGATGGGATTACTGTCGACTTTTCTAGCCTACTTAATAGGATTTTATACTTTAATTTATTTTGTTTAATTATATTTATATTTTAATTATCATGACATACCAAATGCCTGATTTTGTGAAACAAAACGTGATAAATGTGTTTTTAGTTGGGTAAGCACCTTCCTCAGTAGTAAATGTGCTGCAGGCGAATGGAGACCCATTCAAGATGGCCACCAACCACTACGACAGCTTCAATGGGCAGTGCCAGTCCACGAAGCATCTATGTATATATGTCTCTGTGTGTAGCCCTCTGCCAACCTACTTTACAGTTGTTTATTGTACCAGTAGCTAAAATGAAGGTTCGCAGTTAGCTTTTTCAGTTCATTGACTATCAATTTGTTGGCATCACGGCAGAGCTTAGAGGTAAATGTAAGACAGTAATGTATTTGAAGACAAAGCAAAGAGGTAAAACCAGGGTGAGCATCGGCGCAGCCTACGTTCATTTGAGGGAGCTGAAGGACGCTACAAAATCACGGACTGATGGTGACCTGGCTTTGTTGCCACTGGACTTGTAAGTAATAATTTTTTTTGTCTAACAGTGTGGATCTTTTTACTTTATTCAGTATCAGTTGGCTCGTGTTAGCCTTAGCTCATTGTTAGGCTGCAGCAGGGTTATTTACGACTTTTGTAATTCTGCTGTCAACCAGTAGGGCGGAGAAGCGGGAAAAGTGTTGCTTTAAAGCAACAGTTAAAAACAACTTGATGTTGGGTTCATTTTGAAGGTGATGGTGGTTAAATTGCTTTGGCCAATGTTTGAAGGATCAGAAAAGCCTAAACAAAAATTAGAACAGATGCATCAAGAGAACTTTTTCAATGAAACTTAAAACAAGCTGCATTCATCTGATCCACGGACACCATTTTACAGCTTAAACAAGCCACTCAATTTCATGGAGCCACATTTAATAAAACCAGTCAGTGTTATACAGCCGGGCTGCCAAGGTAACACTAAATCAGAGCGGGGGACATTTCACTCCTCTCTTTATGAGACAGAATGCCCTGATCATGGAGGAACAATGAACAAACTGAAGTCAATTAAAAAAACTGGGTTGTTTACTTGGCTTGATTAAAAAGCTGCCAGCGTGAAAGCAGACACCATTCATGGACAAGAGGAGGGACTGTGAAAGGCGGTTAATATGAAACTCTAATAAAAAGTCGTTATATTTTTATGACTTTCTGTTCTTGGAGCTTTAACGAGGGAAGGATGTAATTGGAAATCAAAGAGCGGGGAGGAAACAGGAGTGGACAATGGAGGCAGACGCCGCACAGGAAGTCGATTTAGCAAAAAGAACTAAATGTTTATTGCGAAGGATCTAGATTTTGTGACAGATCTAAAATGCAACAAATATTTTGACTTTTAAATCTTCAATGGTCCCTTTTGATGAATATTTTACATGTGCTAATTGGAGATGTGGCCACATTCTGGCCCTCTGGAGCCAAATGTGGAGTCAATTCCTTTTAAAAAAAAAACCAAACTCCCCTTCATCTCATTATGACTTTCAATTTACAAGCACTCTTTTCGACCCAAACTAATTAGGCAGACAGATGAGATCAAAAGAAGTGAACTAAAGCTAATTACCTTGTGCTGGGCTGGCTGTAATCAGCAGTTAAGTGTGCGTTTAATGCCGCCGTGCCCTCAGCTACCTCGGCGGCTGTGGCGGCAGTAGGATTGGAAGCAAAAGCAGCAGAGGAGGTAGAGGTCCTGGTGCATCTGTCGTCTGGTCCAGGAGTCGGGACCGAGTCCACGGAGCAGATGCTGGAGCGGGAGGAGATCTCGCTGTGGCTGGAGTCGGACAGGTTGTCCGTTTTACCGCCTGGGAGGAGGGCACAACCTGAAGAGAAGGGTGGGATGGTAAGAGATTTTCACCTAGGTGATGCCATGTCGTTTCAGATGGACAACACCCACATCATAAATCACCCTGCACTGAGAACAAGCTAACTCGCTAAAAGAGGTTCATGAGGGAGTGTGTTTTAAATGAGTTTAATGACACACTCACTGAAAAATACCTTTAAAATGGTGACGTTTTGTGTGCATTACAGCCTTTTAGACACGTAACAAGACTGTGTACAGAGTGGAAATCACTGTGAGACCAAGGAATAAGTCGCAGTTTAAACTTTGAAGAACAAAAACCTGCTAAACTCCATTAGCTCGGCTGCTAAAACATTAGCATGAGTGAAGCAAACTTGCCAGGAACAATGAAATTATGAACCTTTTGAAAACAAAAAATGCACATTGTGCAATTTAACATTCAGAAAGAAACAAACATATTTCATTTAGAGTGTTTGTGCTTCAGCAGCAGCGTCTTTTTTTATCCCTAAAAAAACATTGTGCACACCATCACACGTAGGCGTAACTCAGAGGACACTTTCTCTCTCTTGGATAAACAATTTCATCTCTTTACCGTTTTCTACAAATGCCAAAACTTTCAGGCATCGCCTTAACGTGACTCGTCGCAGATCTCAGGCTTCTACGCATCAATGAAATGTTTTCGCTGACTAAACAAAACTACACAACAAAAACTTCATGTTCCAGAGCCCAAGTGTCTCAGGCGGTCTTCCTCCTGACGTGTCTGTCTCTGCACAACCAGAGGAAGGGGTTGGGGCTGACTGATCTCCTGGCTCTCTGCTCTGCTTCTGCATGTCCAGATCCCTCCACAGCCTTCTGACACGACCTGTCTCTGGACTGACTCCTCTCCCTCAGTACCCTGAAAGGTGACTTCAGCCTCATCCTGCTGGGTGATGGGCGTCTCATTAACTGTGGCTGTGGAGGAGCTGATTGAGTCACGACTCCCATCTCTGGCTTAAATGTTGGGGTTCCTGCTTTAGACCTCAGTAACGTTTGTCCTGCATCTGCCTGAGCACTCAGCTCGCTCTGCTGTCTGGATTGTCCTCTCCTTCTCCCTGACGGACACACGCCTCTCTGTGCTTTCTCTGTCTCTTCAGTTATGTCCTCCAGCTTTGTCTCTTTGTCCCTGCTGCTTTCTTGGCTGCTCTGACGCGTCATCAGCTGGATCCTCTTGTGGAGAAGGGCCCCACCTATGCCGTAGCTGCGCAGGCTGACCGTGCCGGTCTTTGTGCTGGCATCACTGGTGAGTGACGATGAAGATCCTGATAAGTTCATCTGGCTGGAGTTTTGGGACTTTCCAGCACCTCCTACTGATGGAGAGAATCAAAGTCAGAAGAGGAGAGTGTTGGCTGATGTTTTCCTTTAAAATTAACTTAAAACAAAAACAAAGTAGAGGTCACAGACCTTTGCGTGGGGAGCCCTGAGGTGACACTGTAGGGCTGGAGTGAAGGGATGAGACAGTAGAGATGGTGTCTTCAGATGGTCTTTTGGTGCTCCACTCATCTGATGAGCTCACTGGAGGTTTCTTCACCACCTGGGGAGAATTTGAGTCTGAAAAAAAAAAACATTTTAAAGAAGAGATGGCTTGTTAAAAATACCTGAATATATTAGAGCTTCAAAAAAACTTTGCCAATGCTTCAAGTGGTGATAATAGCCAAAAATAATCACATTAAAGTTAAAATGCTTCTCAAGGGGACATATTATGCTAATCTATATTCTTGCATCAAGCGTATCGCATCATGACCTACTTTATTTTCTGTATTTAAAGTAGCTTTCCGGAGTTTTCCTCTTTCAGAAATTATGTATGATTTGTCAGAAATCTGTAAAAGTGATTATCTTATGTACTGTGGTTAAATGTAAGCAATAAGTCTTTTTTTTTTTTTTTGCTAAGCACACCCCCTGCCCCACAGAGCTCCGTGCAATAGGAAACTGAGCGCCGACCAGAACTAACCAATAGTGTTAGACTGCCGCTTAGACGCTTCAAATTTAAGGAATACCTCGGCTGATGCAGAGTTGATGAACTTTTCACGAACAAGAAAGCCTCTAAAATATAAATATATGAAAACACAGCATGACATGAGAATAATACTTGTAAAACAACGTGTTTTAGCGCTGCTAGTCGGCTACAGAAGCACATTTATAAACAGAAACGTGAAGTCACCATCTTAAAAAACAGAGGAACAGAGTTTTTGTGTGATACGCTTGTCAGCCACTAGATGGTGCCATTGGATAAGAGGAATTCTCCAGAAGGAAGCTTTGAGGCTGAAAGCAACTCCTCTCCAGTAGCGGTTTTAGGCACGGGCAGACAGGGCAGTTGCCCGGGGCGGCATTTTTTCATGACACAAAAGGGGCGCACAGGCGCTGAGTTAAAAAAAAAAAAGAAAAAAAAAGAAATCTGCGCCGCACCGAGGTTTTCTATTATCAGTGATATCACAGTGTCTGGATTGGAAACAGCGAGTTGGCGCCCCCTGCTGCTTCAGGCGCTCCTGCTGACTGAGAACGTTCACGTGCACCGTGTGTGTGTGTAAGAAGAGGAAGGGGAGGGGCGCGGCGGGGGATTCACCTCTGGGTGGGTCCAAATGAAAAGCCGGGTAGGGGCTGAATCAGCTGTATTAACATGGCTAAAGTCACTCACATCTTGATGTTCTTCCATTTAACGCACATTTCATTCATAATATCATAAACACAGGCCTATCATTCTTTCAGGTTTTTCTGAATTGTGTGAAATGACCAAATAAAAAAAGGAAAAACAAAACGATTTTGTGGTCCCCCCCCCCCCCCCCCCCCCCCCATCAAGGTCAAATAGTTTAGCCCTGACTAAAGGAAACTTTTTGAGTCAAGAGCCAAACAGAAGAGATGAACATAAAAAGGCTAAAACCACCAGGTGCCCGATTCAGGAAGAAACGAGGAGAAAGATAAAGGTTTGTACGCTCTCATGATGCATGTTTTCAATTTCTTGAACCAGTTAACTGGAATTTTAACGGTTAAATTCGGTCAACTAATTGCTAACAGAGCTAATAGGGCTGAAATATTGAAACGAATATTCAAATGGTTCGAAAAAATTCCTTGAATCGTTTTTTACTGATTCAAACTAGGATTAGTTAAATGCTCGCTGCAGCCTGTGGCCTGCCTGAACAACAACACACACATGTTGATCATGTTCACATAATAATAAATAAAACAACTCTACAAGCAGAAGAAAACTCCCCAGTCACCACTAACTGTCCTGTTTATTTATTGCAGATGGCTGCACTGATTATTTTTACATGATTTGTTCTGTAAAAGTTGGCATTTTTGGTAGTCTACAAATTTTTTATGTCAGTTTAAATTACAATTTCTGAGGCAACTCTAAAATATTATGGATCATGAGATCTATTGGAGATCTACCCCAACTTTCAAATGGTGCTCTCTGCAGAACCACAAAGGCGGAGCTGCACCAGAAGGTGGAGCTGCACCAGAGTCAGCCCCGCCCATTCCAGAATCAGCCCCGCCCATTCCATAAGAGTCAGTCCAATTCCTTCTAGTTGTCAGACTTGATAGCATTCTGGAACCAAAGAGGGTGTTATAGCTAAAAAATTGAGGACGGAGTTGAGAAGTTAATTGAACAGTTTTTGTAAAGGTTCCATATAATTAAAAATCAAACTTTTGGAACTTTTAATCATGTTATATTGTCATTTCCTCATAAGAAACACGCCAAAGCCATTTTTGGCCTCATTCATGCATTTTCTTCCCATCTCAGCTTCAATTTGGTCTCCTCCCCCGAAGAGGGTCTGGTCTTGGTTCTCAAATCTGGATATTCTGTGAATTTTCTGACAAATTATTTCTTAAATGACTTCTTCTGAGACACCGCCGGAAAAATCATACATACCATCTACAAAGACACACTGGATAGGACAATCAAATGTAACACCACTAGACTTTTTTAAGATGTGGTGGTGTAGTGGTTATAGAGTCAAGTTGACATGCAGTTTTGCGCAGGTTCGCCTCCCACTAGCAGAAATATTAGGTAGCTTACAACCCCCTTTCCTCATTTCTAGCTACACTTGCCAGTACTATGTTTACAACAATTTACTGGTATACCGTTTAACATATAATGACTAATGTGTTTATTTATTTATTTGTTTATTTAGCCAGTGTGAGTCCATTTGTGAGCAGAGTTTCAACTAAAATACTGTTTAGGAACGACCAAATTCAAAGAACTTTTAGAGACATAAATATTTTGCTGAAAATAAACATTACAACTAAAATATAAACAAATTAAAATGTTTCAGCTGGCTAAATGGATTGTTGCCGACCTCACCGAGAATCGAACCAGCACCAGCTGAGGGGAAAGCTAAACTTAAGTTAAACAATCTCGCCACTGGACTACCAGAGCACGTACGTAAATGACAGATGCTGTTGTACAACACTTTTCTTGGAGCGGCTGTGGGTAGATATTCGTTAAAAGAAACCTTTTCATTTAGAGATATATTCAGGCTTTGTCATGTAGCAAGTTATATTTATCTTGTTTAATTGAAGCATAGAACATAGCATTAACGACTGTAAACTAGTAACAGCCGTAATTCATGTGGGTCAGGTTAGTTTGCGATAATGTTGGAAAAACAAAAACGGAAGTCAGTGGGCTAGACTGAGTTTGCGTGAATGGGCGGGGCTGACTCTGGTGCAGCTCCACCTTATGGTGCAGCTCCGCCTTTGTAGGTCTGCAGCGAGCACCCTCTCCCAACTTTTGGACTGCTCTGCCAGTCACTGTGGCTCAAGCTGAGAGGAGCTTTTCAAAACTTGATCAAGTCATACCTGAGGTCAACTATGTTTCAGGGGTGGCTCACTAACCTGGCTCTGATTAGTATCAGTCACTCAGTAGGGGAGCAGATTTCATATGATGACATTATTGATGTTTGCATCAAGGTTAGGTTTTAATTTTAGTTTGTGTTTTCTGTTCTAAGTGCAATGCTGAAGTGATTATCTTTAGTTTGTTATGTGTGAAATATTTTTGCTATTTAGAATATTTATTATATATTATGTTCATATATTCTTAATATTTAGTTATTGTTTGTTTTTGTATATTTGATTCTATATATTTTGATACAGTCAGGGTCCGAAATTACATTTTTTACTCACCGGCCGAGTTGGCCGGTAGATGATGAAAATCTACCGGCCAAGCATATTTTTTACCGGCCAAAATTCTAAATGATTTAGATCCACCTAAAGCATGTAATTCTATATTATGTTGATTCCAAACAGAGTGACAAAATAATTCAAACATCAATTAATAAGGAAAACAACTCTTTAGTCATTTTTACTATTTATTTATTTATTTTTAGATATGTTTTTATGAACTCTTTCATTGAAATCTAGTCAGACTCCTTGTTTTCTCTGTCCATGAAGTCTGGCCTCCTGCTTCTGACACCGTCTTTGTGCCAAAGCATCACAGCCTCATTAGGGTCATAGTCCTTGATCCCTGGAGAACACAGCTGCACCATGAGAATATCTGAGTGTGTCAGGGCTAGGGTTGTCACGGTAACCGGTGTAGCAGTAAACCCCGGTAAAAAAAGTTGACAATAATAATAACCGTCTTGTTTAAAAATATATATATATTATCTCAGTGGATTACCGTGGCTGCGGTGTAGGCGCGGTGACCCTTACCAGCCACCGTATCATCTGCTGGAAGTTGCCGGCGGCACATGCGCGCTTTGTTGTTTACGACCAAAACTTTCTTTAAGCTAAAGCTGAAATAATGGCAGGAGGAGACGGCACTCGGGACATTTATTATCCCTCAAAGAAGACAAAGTGGGAAGTATGGGCATGTTTTGGATATTTGAAGAATGCCGAGGGACAGTTGTCTGTGAAAGGCAGCAACGCTACGTGGCCATCGTAATGTAGCCATTGTCTCACGACTCCGCCGTCTCCAGTTCGCCACTTTTCACAAAATCTTCTGGTTGCCACTGGTCCTGGTGGTTTTTCTTCCAGTTCGATGAGTTTTCTTTTGGAAGGCTGGCTGACTCCAGTTAAAAACCGCCACATTTCACCGCTAGTTTTAACACGAAGCTAACTGCTAACTTGATAAACTGAATGGGATAGGTGGAAATGACGTTGGATGCGGCGTTCACGTTTCGCGTACGTTTGTGTATGTTGCATGCAGGCGGGAGGAGTATCAGAAATCCATGGAAGATGACTGATAAACATAACTAATTTGGTGCAAACATTTACTCGCCAGGTGGCAGGTAGAGCTCAAAAATTTACTCGCCAAATGGAGCAATTTACTCGCATTTGGCGAGTGGCGAGTGTTAATTTCGGACCCTGGATACAGTATATAATATATATTGCTTTACATTCTGACAACTTCATAGTAATTAATGTAAATATGTGCAACTTAGAAAGATGAATGTTCAATAGTCGTTCTAATAAAACATGCCTGTTTGTAGAAAACATGCGTGTGTTCGTGCAGGTGGGGTGGTGTGGTGGTGGGTGGGGGTGGGGGGGCGCACAAAGGGTTCCTCGCCCGGGGAGTAATTCCATGTAGAACCGCCACTGCTCCTCTCGTTCGTGTATGCGCCCTTCTAGCCAACAAAACAGAACTAAAACACATCGTTTAGCAATTATAATGTTATCTTATGTTGTGTTTTCATATATTTATATTTTAAAATTTGCCTGAACCAAGGTGCATCCTTAAATGCTCGAGCACGCTCTGTGATTGACGTCTGTAAGTGTGCGGTACACTAACGCTATGGGTTCGTGCCGAATGGCGCTCAGTTCATTTTGCATTGAGCTCTATTGGCGCTTGCACATTAGCGTCGGCACGGCCCCAAATGGTACCAAACAGCAACGGAATTTGGTTTCACACATAGGTCAGATTTGAGTTTTCGGTGCAGAGGCGACTCTTTTTCTCAGACTTTCTCCCCAGCGGTCAGACTGGGTCCGAGTCGACACTACGGACTGATTAGCTGACTGAAATTATGCCTACCGCCTCCGATCTGTGAGAAAAATGAGCCAGCTTACATGAGTAAACTGTCTGTAGCATGGAGCTGCCCATCAGTGTGGGAACGGGAGAAGAGAATGGCTGTGTGTGTGTGTGTGTGTGTGTGTGTGTGTGTGTGTGTGTGTGTGTGTGTGTGTGTGTGTGTGTGTGTGTGTGTGTGTGTGCGCGTGTGTGCGTGTGTGCGTGTGTGCGTGTGCCTGTTTTCCGTATCGGAGCTCTTGCCCTGGCGAGCAGACAGCTGCTCAGGGGAGAAATAAGTGTGTGTGTGTCGCACAAGATTATGACGACACACACAGAAAATTTATAAAATTATGTGGTTCAGAGTCTCCAAAGCAACACAGCTCATGTCCGCCTTTGTTTGCCTTATGGAGTGGACTTTCCCACGCGTATTAAACTCCGCCCACAGGCTTGGAGATTCACGCATTCCTGAGAAGTCCCTCGGATTTATATGTGAACACTACACCACCCGTTCGAGACCGAACTCACACCATCCAGCCCAACTATGCCGATGCTAATGTGTAAGCGCCTCATGGGACGGGGGATGGCTTAGCAAAAGACGTATTTCCTGCATTATTTCACAATACATGATAAGACAATCACTTTTATGTGTTTCTGAAAAATCATAGTAATTCCTGAAAGGGGAAATCTCCAGACAGCAGCTTTAAGAAAAAAGGTCACATTGTGACCCTTCAAAAGGGAAGAAAACTCTTTATAAATAAGAAAAAGGATGAAGTTCTGCCCACTCGGACCGCTGATGTCCTTGGCGGTGCTCTTCTTTCGTAGGGGGTTCAGTGGCACCTGGACCTGCAGGACCTGGGACACCCGGTTCTGAGCTTTCCCCAAAGGCAGGGTCGACCGCTGAGACACCGGAGACATGTCTGACTTATTGGATCGTCTCTCCACCAAGTTTTTGCTCACTGGAGGAAAAAAAATCATAAGTTTTGAAAAAAAAAATTACATTCAGACAGGAATTTTCCCACTAACTTTTATGCTGTGGTCTACTATGAAAAAACCACATCAGCTGGGAAATTCTCAGAATACAAAATATCTAAATTCATCTCTTCTGAGTCCAATCCCTTTAATTAAACGTGATGTTTAAGTTGCTTTGTGAGTCTCAGATTCCAGTTATGTTTATATTTTGTTGCCAGAATGTATGGAACTTAAAATGATGCTCGTGTTTTGTTCAGAAGATCACATCGCAGTCTTTTATCTCCCAGTTTATGTCAAAAATAATGAGTCTCAGCGAGTGTGGCAGCCTCAGACCGAGTGTCACTCACAGGTGTTATAAGACGGCTCACACTGCAGGGACATGATTTGGTGTTTCTCCTCGTCCGTCTCCACCATCAGGTTAGAAAGGTATTGTTTCACCTTTCTGGCCATCTGAGCATCTTCGTACAGCTTCTTGGCGTTCAGAAGCGAACTGCGACGTACTCGCTTCTTGTGGGCTCCTCCTTGAACATCCAGGATGTTGGAGTTGGTGCTGCCTTGACTTAAAGACCTGATGGATGGGGAAGAGAACAAAGGAAAAGGAAGAAGAAAAAAGGTAAAGTGCAGAAATAGAAACAAAAAGGCAGGTTGAGAGAGAGCAGGGATACATTTGAATTATTACAACAATATAAAATAGGAATGGCCAACTTTATAAATCAAAAATACCAACTTCACTTTAGAATCTGGAAGTTTTTGCGTTTTAAAAACAGGACCATGCAACTGAGAGGGAGGCAGCACTTCTTCATGTGCCATGCTTTCGCAGGACCGAGCAGCAGAGCATTCGGTCAGATGGTGGCAAAAAGGGTTAGGAAACAAAAGATGCACAATATTCATTATGGGGAATATTATTACCAGGATGCAAATGTGAACAATCAAAAATCCCGAGGCAAATGCTATTTGCAATTATTTGCCACAACTTTTCATCAATGTCTTGTTTTTTTCTTACAGCCTGTTCTGTCCTACGAAGCATCTAATGAGTGACTGTTAAAGGCTCTTTTATTTAAGGACTTCGTCCCTGCAGCCATTTTAAAATATGAATTTAACCAGGAAGGTCCTGTTTTAAGGGAGTCTTCGGGGTAAATGTGATGAGGGAAGGTTGAATCAAACCTGGAACCCTGTGACTGGCATTTAGATGAATGAAATATTGGTTCTAGGATGCACTATTTAGTTTTTTGATTGATGTAAAAGCTCCAGGACAGCTTCAAACTTAAAAACAAACTTTATTTTGTAACTTTTAATCAAATATAAACAGGAAGTCTAAAAGTTTGCCAATGTGCAGTAAAGTGTTTAAATCTCCCAGAAAAATCTAGACTTTGGCTAACAAAGGTGGAGATCAACAGATCTAAATAAGGCTGAATGAACCTGGGTGGATGATTTGGGAAATTATGTTTACCCCTTTCATCTCAAAGGTTTGTATCTTAAATCTTTAAATCATACTGAAGATATATAGCTGGCCACTGTATAACCCAAAATGTAGGAAAATCCCAAAGTTTGAACTTAAAAATAAACTTTGCAACTCTTTTTTTTAAGCTAAATAACCCATTTAAGCCTGATTCCACTATTGGAACTTCCGGGTGATTGTGCATTTCCATGACATCAGCAGACGTCTCCAAACAACTGGCATTTGTTAAATTGGAAGTGTGAGGCAAAACAGAAGGAAAATTAAATAAAACACTGCTTTAAAATTGCCGGTTCTAACCTTGCAAAGCCAAAAAATGTGGAAGAAATCACCAAATACTTTTGTAGGACAAAACTTTTAATGATGTTAACGTCCGTGGGCACCTTCTGACGCTGATTTGTGACACCACTCACCGCTGATATGACTGCCGTATGCTGACGTCTTAGCAAAGTCCTCAAAGGGTCGACTTTGTGTGGAGATGCAACAACTAAGAGCAACGAGCCATCTTACTTTCCCTGGCACCTTCCCCCTTCCAGAAATTTCCCGCAACTCCCACAGCAGAAACACGACTATTATGTCATAAATGAGCATTATTTCCAACTACTAAATGACTCAATCTAATGAAGATGAGAGACAATTATTGGATCAACGATGGTATGGTCGGTGTGAACAGGCACTGCAGATGGATGGGTTAATCACACAGAAGCACAGGCACACACAAGCAGGAACACATGCAGAGTTAATGGCTGTTGGGGTGCATGGTGGATGGGAATACTGGGGGGGCCCAACTGGGTGGGACTGGTAACCAGGACAAACTTACCCTAAACTCTTCCACCTCTTCTTCCTGCAAGCAAGAGGTGTGAAGATTGAAGCGTGACTCAAAGACAAGTTCAAGGTGTGTGTGGAGGAGGAGACAAGACCATGTAGAGTTCATGCTATCACACACAAACAAATGATTTGAGATGGGAGGGCGCAACACGTGGGTCATCTGCTTGTATTGTCCTTAAGGGTGTGTGAAACGTGCCACAGACCCACAGCAGAAGGTCTTTTTGCCTCTAAGAAGAATTTATGTCCGATTTTAAACAATGAATCTTAAGTCCTGAGTTGAAGTTTTCTTATATATATAACCTGTAGTATGATTGCAGTGTCTGCAGGGGGCAGTCATGCACTACAGCAGTGACAGACTGTGAGACACAGAAACTGAGCGACACCAACTACACACTGTGGCTGTCATCAATTCCACGCACAGCCCCATTCAGTCCATGTCTTCCTTGTGTTATCGGGTCGCGATCCAAACACACAGCGGCATGGATGGAGGAGGAAGTGAATGGGAATTGATTGGACTAGACTCTGAGTGTGTGTTTGATCCCATTGGTGAGGGATCCATGTTGGCTTGTGGAGGGATGAAAGGGGTGGTTTCCTTTTTGCCAACATTTTCAGAGGAAAAGATAGATAAAAAATAAAAAGGAACCCAACCTTTGCTGGTGCAATATGTTGGTAAACAAGAGGCACCAGTTTCCAAGAAGTTTGAAGGAAGTTTACTGTACGCTGATTGGAAATCACAAAAGGCAAACAGATTCAGATCTGTCTCCTGAGACCACTTAATCATTAGGACATGTCTTTCACTGGCCCCATCAGCTGCGTTAATTTAAATAAAACGTGTATCAAAACAACCGACCTCTGTCTGAACATGAGGGCGGGGTCCATGTTGGCTGAGGTCATCCGCACCACATGTCTAATCTCCTTAGCAATCATCCTCAGCTTCTCAAAGTTCACAAGGCCGTCGACGCTGGAGTCGTTGCCTGAGGGGACAAGATAACAAACGCAGCCATCACCGTTAACGATGATTCACATCCTGGGACATTTTAAATGCAATGTGAAAAATAAACATTATTCAAGGTAAAAATCAGGTTTCTTGTTGTTGCAGAAGATCTTTGTCAACTTGGGAAACTTTTGTTTAGAAACTTGCACAATCAGGGAAGCTTTCTGTGTTGTTTCTGATAAAACAATCAAGTTTTTTTTAAAACCAACCCTTAAAAAAGAAGTTTGTGTAGTTATGACCTGACTCAGATTGGTAAAGTTAGACACCAACATGAGGAAGCAGGAGACCTGAGGCGTTTCACACGGCACGGAGGAAGCGACACTAATCTGCACAAAAATAAATGTGGTCGCCCCATTACATAACAATTGGTTAAGCTTCTGTACCTTCATGTAGGAAGGTGAGGTCCTTCTTGACCACTGGGAACAGTGGGATGATGGGGGGCTGCATGCTCTGGCTGCTCAGCACGTTGCGATACTTGGCCATGTTCCTGGATGGGTCGAAGATGTCCTGCAGGTCCCCGAAGAGCTTCTCGTACTTACTCGGCAATTTCTCCCACGAGCTCCGCAGTCGAGCCACCGGTGCCAAGTTCAGCCCGCTGTCCAGGAGTGAGGGAAAAGGTGGAAGGAGGGCGGGGCGATCGGGAGCACCAAGGCAGAGATGAATGGGACGTGTTTGGCAGATGAGAGGAGAAAAAATGAGGGGAAACAAAAGTAGAAAATTAGAAAAAAATAAAATAAAATTTGAGTTCCTTTCTTTTGCATTTTTTCATTTTACAAGTATTTGTCTTCACTCGAGTGTTTTATGATCAATTGTACCTAAAACTTTAGTGTTTAAGCTGCTGTACTGGGGTGTGGGTTTTCTCACAATCATATTAAATCAAATCTGTTACCTTAAGTTTTAGTTTTTCTCATCAACTCGAGAAAAGCGCAGCTTGTTTGTTGACACTTAAGCATGATTTAACACATTAATCTTCACTGGGCTGGTTTCTGATGACGCACTCTTTTTGTTTATCGAGGCAAAACACGCATTTCTAAGTTAAAAGTAATACATATTTTTATTAACTGGAGATAACAAGATAATTAAATAAATACCTCATTAACTCCAGATAATGTCACGAAGAACATTTCTAAGTTTGTCCTTTCTTGGCTTCCATACTTTTGCAGAGATGTGTCAATGGTCTGAACTACGCTGCTACTAATCACGACTAACTCTACAGGGCAGCCACAGAAAAACGGGGTTCACCCAAAACTTTGGTATTACTTACACATTGCAGTATTTATTTACTACTCTATACCAGAGATCTGTATTGTTTGCTAATATTACTAAACAATGTTACTAACACCATTTTAATGAAAAAAAATTTTTTTTGAGCATTCAACATGATCTCTGCAACACTTAGGTAAAAGTCGTGCTGTCGTCGCTGTTCATCCACACATGATTCAACTTGCATAAAACATTTGTTTTAAATGTTTACAAGCAGTAACGGCCATCTGTGGAAAACAAGCTCAGTTTCCACGAGCCGCTGAGAATAACAGACGCAAATAGCTAAAATAAGATGCTGGTAATAATAACCAATAAGAATTTTTTTTTTGTATTATTATTTTACAGCAAAATTGAAGCTTTTCTTGGGTTTACATCTCTAAACAGGGTTGGTCAGGAGGTGCAGTTTCTCTCCTGCAGGTGTGTTTAGCTCACATTTTATGTGGTCTAAAGGCAGGAATAGAGGGGGGATCGCTAAAATGAAGCTTTTGTTTGTACTAGTCGCACGTGAGGGTGACAGAAGAAAGAAAAGCTGTTGTGGATGTATTGATTTCGTTTTTCAGACAAAGAAGTTCACAATAAAAAGGCAACAGGTAACCCTGCGTGTCATGATGCTTCTCCACAAGCAACGGCAGCAGCTGTGCCCCTGTCACCTGGCAGGTTATGCATCAGAGAGCCATATGTGCTATGAAAACCTGCTGTGAGGAGGAGTGTAAGGGGACAAGGAGGTCAGACACTTCTGCTCTAAAGAAGATTTTTCAGCAGGGAACAAAGGAGCAGCACACCACTGTGCTTCTTGAACTGTAAGTAACTCAACAGAACAAACGGATGGCTTTTTACAGAGAAAGTCTTACAAGTCCTTGGTATATTTGAAGAAAAAAGGGGTTATACAGTGAACAGACCATTAATTTGGCTTATTAGATGATACGTTGAGATAAACTGCATTCAGTTATTTGGACCCTTTCATTTTTGTTCCATAACACTTCTGGAATTTATAAAATAATAATTTTAAAAGCATTTACATATGCTCACTTGCTCTCCACAGAAAAATAAAACACTTTCATACTTTGTTCCTGTCCCACATGTAAATATCGTCCTTAAAAACGCACTCAAACTAATTTGTTTTGTTTTCATTTAGTGTTTGGTTTTAGGAACTATGTAACTAAAACAATCTGTTTCAAAAAGTCCCTGTTTGTGATGTCACAGTAGGAACAAATCAGAACAAACCCTCCTCTTGTGTGCAATAGAGAGCTGCTGCTGGAGGAACAGTAGCTCTACTCCAAGCCACTACCAGATATTGGGGCTTCTAAGCTCATAGCGGCCTGAGTAGGGATCTGTAAATGGCTCATTCTGGAAGGGCCTGAAACTGTCAAGAATTAAACTGCTGAAATAGATAAATGTGTGAGGGATTTTTTGCAAAGAACTTCATGGAAACATTTGGTGTCGACCATAGAACCTTTATAACTCAATGAAAAGAGTGGTAATATGTCTCCTTCAAACCAAATTTCAGATACAAAATTTTGCATCAAAAGAAGCAAAAGTGACTAGATGTTCTTTTTGAACCTAAAATAGTGTCTCTAGAGAGCCAGAAGACAAAAACAAGTCAGTGGAGAAGAAGTAGAATGAAAAATGAGAACAGCAACTAAATGATGCACTGACCTGATAATAGCAAACATGGAGTTGAAGTTTTTGCACTCTCTGCAGTGCAGGGCAATCTTGATGAAGTGCTTGATGGTCTTCATTCTCTTGAGGGTGTTGGGCTCCTTTAAGATCTCCGTGGCGACCCAGAAAGTTTCCTGGTTTATCACCTCCTCAAACTGTTTAAGGTTTCCACATCCAGCCGAGGAGTCAATTTTAAACAAGTCATCCACATACCTGGAAATCAAGAAGGAGATGCGTATGAAAAATCCTCAGTTTTGCAAAACATGTTAGAATTCCCTTTCAATGTTTGTGTTTCAGTGCACTAAGAGTCCATCGTCATAAACGTACTCTGTGGACTCGATGTTCCTGAAGAGTTCAAAGTCTCTCATTGAGAGCTGGGCGGCGACCTCCATAGTGCTGAGCTGCAGCAGAGAGATCTGACTCTCTCTGAGGAGATCCTGGGCATCCTCGTCCGAACACAACGTTTCTGTCTCCATGTTGTTCTTCAGGTAATATCTTCAGCAGGGGAAGAGTGAGAAGGTGAAAGGTGGAACAGCAAAAATACTAAGCAAGACGAATGAAAAGTTTTAATAGTTGAAGCTTTAAAAATTAGCACTAGGGAGTGCAAAACCACTTTAATATTGATAGATAATGAGACTCAAAGTAAGAGAATTATTTTAAATGGTCTGTATTTGTGTAGCACCTTCTACAACCCCCTAGGGCGCGTCACAACACAATCAGTCATCCACCCATTCGCACACACATTCACACGCTGGCGATGATGAGCTACGATGTAGCCACAGCTGCCCTGGGGCGCACTGACAGAGGCGAGGCCTGCCGAACACTGGCGCCAGCGGTCCCTCCGACCACCAGCAGCAGCACTTTTAAGCCGGATAAACTAAAGTTTTCAGGTACGGGCTCTAGCAGCACAGCTTCTCTCTTCTGTTTATGAAACCTAACACTACTGCTTTCACTCTAATGGAGCTGTAATGTGGTCATCTTGGAGTGCAACCCCTCACAGGGTTATTATGGACCTAAAATGGGCCCTCCTCAGGAGCAAAGTGTTGGCATAGATGCAACTGCAAATTGCACAACAACGCTAACGGAGGAGGTGGAAAGAGCCGCGGCAACAGTTGGTGATGTGATCGAGCTGAATTTATGTAAATAAAAATGAGAGAACCATGTCAAACGAACATAACACAGACGACCATAAGATGAGAGACAAACAAACAACAAAGACGACCATAAGATGAGAGACAAACAAACAACAAAGACGACCATAAGATGAGAGACAAACAAACAACAAAGACGACCATAAGATGAGAGACAAACAAACATAACACAGACGACCATAAGACGAGAGACAAACAAACAACACAGATGACCATAAGACGAGAGACAAACAACAAAGACGACCATAAGACGAGAGACAAACAAACATAACACAGACGACCATAAGACGAGAGACAAACAAACAACAAAGACGACCATAAGACGAGAGACAAACAAACAACACAGATGACCACAAGACAAGAGACAAACAAACAACACAGACGACCATAAGATGAGAGACAAACAAACAACACAGATGACCATAAGACGAGAGACAAACAACAAAGACGACCATAAGACGAGAGACAAACAAACATAACACAGACGACCATAAGACGAGAGACAAACAAACAACAAAGACGACCATAAGACGAGAGAAAAACAAACAACACAGATGACCATAAGACGAGAGACAAACAAACAACAAAGACGACCATAAGACGAGAGACAAACAAACATAACACAGACGACCATAAGACGAGAGACAAACAAACAACACAGATGACCATAAGACGAGAGACAAACAAACATAACACAGATGACCATAAGACGAGAGACAAACAAACAACAAAGACGACCATAAGACGAGAGACAAACAAACATAACACAGACGACCATAAGACGAGAGACAAACAAACAACACAGATGACCATAAGACGAGAGACAAACAAACAACACAGATGACCACAAGACGAGAGACAAACAAACAACACAGATGACCATAAGACGAGAGACAAACAAACAACACAGATGACCATAAGACGAGAGACAAACAACAAAGACGACCATAAGACGAGAGACAAACAAACATAACACAGACGACCATAAGACGAGAGACAAACAACAAAGACGACCATAAGACGAGAGACAAACAAACAACACAGACGACCATAAGACGAGAGACAAACAAACAACACAGATGACCATAAGACGAGAGACAAACAACAAAGACGACCATAAGACGAGAGACAAACAAACATAACACAGACGACCATAAGACGAGAGACAAACAAACAACACAGATGACCATAAGACGAGAGACAAACAACAAAGACGACCATAAGACGAGAGACAAACAAACATAACACAGACGACCATAAGACGAGAGACAAACCAACAACAAAGACGACCATAAGACGAGAGACAAACAAACAACAAAGACGACCATAAGACAAGAGAAAAACAAACAACACAGACGACCATAAGACGAGAGACAAACAAACAACACAGACGACCATAAGACGAGAGACAAACAAACAACACAGATGACCATAAGACGAGAGACAAACAACAAAGACGACCATAAGACGAGAGACAAACAAACATAACACAGACGACCATAAGACGAGAGACAAACCAACAACAAAGACGACCATAAGACGAGAGACAAACAAACAACAAAGACGACCATAAGACAAGAGAAAAACAAACAACAAAGACGACCATAAGACAAGAGAAAAACAAACAACACAGACGACCATAAGACGAGAGACAAACAAACAACACAGACGACCATAAGACGAGAGACACACAAACAACACAGACAACCATAAGACGAGAGACAAACAAACAACACAGATGACCATAAGACGAGAGACAAACAACAAAGACGACCATAAGACGAGAGACAAACAAACATAACACAGACGACCATAAGACGAGAGACAAACAAACAACAAAGACGACCATAAGACGAGAGACAAACAAACAACAAAGACGACCATAAGACGAGAGACAAACAAACAACAAAGACGACCATAAGACAAGAGACAAACAAACAACACAGACGACCATAAGACGAGAGACAAACAAACAACACAGACGACCATAAGACGAGAGACAAACAAACAACACAGACGACCATAAGACGAGAGACAAACAAACAACACAGACGACCATAAGACGAGAGACAAACAAACAACACAGACGACCATAAGACGCGAGACAAACAAACAACACAGACGACCATAAGACGAGAGACAAACAAACAACACAGATGACCATAAGACGAGAGACAAACAAACAACACAGACGACCATAAGACAAGAGACAAACAAACAACACAGACGACCATAAGACGAGAGACAAACAAACAACACAGATGACCATAAGACGAGAGACAAACAAACAACACAGACGACCATAAGACGAGAGACAAACAAACAACAAAGACGACCATAAGACGAGAGACAAACAAACAACACAGACGACCATAAGACGAGAGACAAACAAACAACACAGATAACCATAAGACGAGAGACAAACAAACAACAAAGACGACCATAAGACGAGAGACAAACAAACAACACAGACGACCATAAGACGAGAGACAAACAAACAACAAAGACGACCATAAGACGAGAGACAAACAAACAACACAGATGACCACAAGACAAGAGACAAACAAACAACACAGACGACCATAAGACGAGAGACAAACAAACAACACAGACGACCATAAGACGAGAGACAAACAAACAACACAGATGACCATAAGACGAGAGACAAACAACACAGACGACCATAAGACGAGAGACAAACAAACAACACAGACGACCATAAGACGAGCGACAAACAAACATAACGACAAACATTAGACAATACTGGAATTTAATGATCAGCAAAGTTGTGCTAAATGGGCCCAAATCTGCTGTAAAGACCACAGACCGTCGTGTTCTGAGCTTTAGATCCACATTCTTCATTTATATGCATGTTGGCAGCATGAGCAAGGTTTTCTATTGGCTCAGCCTGCCCCTCCCAGACCTCCTGTCGATCACCAGCAGCAGAGGACGACTGACACAACACAACTCTCCCAACTGCTTCTGGTTAACACAAATCTTTACTGAATACCGTGAATGCACATCCTGCACAGCATGTGTGTACCCGCATGTCCAAATACCATCAAAACGTTGTTGCTACATGTCCCTTTCTCTAAATCTGAAGGACAAATAAAAGAGACTCTTTAGGAAATCTGTGAATGGACAGGAACATGCGCTGCTAGTCGAAGCAGAGCACGGATGGTTGTGTGCAAATGAATAATTCTAGACATGTCATGCTGTCTGCAGAGGCCTCCGCCCCTGACAAGAGGATGAAAAATTCATGCTAGCTTGCTTGGGAGGGGACCGAAGAGGGACCACAGGAGACGAGGAGAACGGGATTAAAGTGTAAAAAAGCTGGGGAGGGAGCCACTTTAGGGCAGACGTTGTTTCCTTCGACGTTCTACCAAATTTCATCTTAAAATAAGTGGAAAACAAGACAAAGAATGTTGACTTTCTGGACTAAAACGTACAGAAAACATCTTCAGAAACACAAGTACATAAAACTGTCACTCGTACTTTAATACAGTCTGTAGTAACAATATTCTATTATTTCATTCTGCTGAAGCTGAACAAAGGTGAGGACATTTGCTCCTAAGCAGCTGGAGTCCTGCTGGTGCAGCGGAGAAATGTAAACTGAATTAAGTAAATCACATCCTCGGGAAGCAGAGTGGGAATCACTCCTCCAGAAGAGTGTCCTGTGACAACGAACTGCTCTCTAGCCACTACAGATATGACCATTAGGTCTAAATCTGACCAGTGTCTACAGGATCAGTCAATCGAGATGATAAAAGATCTACTCCTAAAACTTGTATCACTCCTCCAGCTGCTTTGTTTTTTCCAAACCTCCACGTCAACCAAATTTCTGTTGGATACCAGTCACATTGCTCACCTGCCGTTAAGCTGAATCCGATCTGCCAGTTTGGATAACTGGTCGGGGAGGCGCCGCTGTTTGATCACCCCCTCTGGACTGACGGAAACTTCACACAGAGAGTACGTCTCGGGTGGCGCGAGGAAGCCGAACTCGTTGACGGTGTGGGTGACGACGTCCTTGGCTGTAGTGTCCTTGCTGATGATGATGTAGCAGCTCTGCTGGTCTGCTTTGAACACTCGGATGACCTGATCTGGAATGTCTTAAGGAGGGAAAGAGGGATTAGTGATCAATAAGGAAAGGGTGGGTGAATGGTTAAATATCGGCAAAGTCAATAATTTGTGAAATATCGATGCAGAAATAAAACAATTTATATTTGTAAAAGTTCCACAAACAAAATGCTTAGAAAAGTTGGTTGGAGAAGAATGGTTTGTTTAATTGTTTTCTTTTCTTTTCTTAATTACTGCTGCAAACAAAGTTCATTAATAAGCATTTGGAACATGAACTTATTAACGCTGCTTTCCAATTACCCAAGTCACAGCCCTTATCTGGAACCCAGACTAAACCGTGTTCCTGCTCAAACTCTCAAAACCAGCATAAAACACGCCAATGGCAGTGTTCTTCTCTGCAATTACATGGAAATAAATCAGAATAAAAGGTCTATAGCTGATCTATTTAGCATTTTCATGATCAAAGTAGCCATTTTGGATTTAAAGAACTCTTTTGTCTCTGGCTTTATTTTATATGACCAACTTTAAATTTGAATATTACAACTTCCGTGTACACATCCAAAGATCTACTTAAACTTACAGTTAATTAAAAACTGATCGTTATTGGAATTCATTAGAATGACTGCCTTTTAAAAACTGTGTTTAAATGTAAACTTACTTAACAAGTAATGCCGTTTTACTAATATTATTACCATTTCAGTGTTAACTTTATCTAAAAAAGTCTAAATGTACATCACAACTGGGTAATTCTTTCATATTTCTGCAACAAGGTAAAATGATTAATGGATTTAACTGCGGGAGATGTCATTGTTTGGACCACGTATCTGTTCAAAATGATAAACTGCACTCATTTTTACTGTATGTTAAAATTAAAACAAGGGATAGGTGTGAGGTTGTTTTGGTACAGAGAAAAAAATAAAGTTAAATTTTGACCAAGACAGAAACATCCATCCATCCATCCATCCATCCATCTTCTGAACCCACTTTGTCCACGCAGGGTGCCTATCTCCAGCGGTCAACGGGCAATCAGGTGGGGTACACCCTGGACAGAGAGCCAGTCCATCGCAGGGCAACACAGAAACACACAGGACAAACAATCACGCACACACACACACATTCACACCTAAGGACAATTTAGACAGAACAATTAACCTAACAGTCATGTTTTTGGATGGTGGGAGGAAGCCGGAGTACCCGGAGAGAACCCACGCATGCACAGGGAGAACATGCAAACTCCATGCAGAAAGATCCCAGGCTGGGAAGCGAACCCAGGACCTTCTTGCTGCAAGGCAACAGCTCTAACCACTGCACCACTGCGCAGCCCAAGACAGAAACATTTGCAGGAAATGCATTCAAAAAGGATGAGGGAAAATGTACAGGTAGATTCATTCAAAAATATGTAGAACTTGCAACTTATTATGGACTAACTTATTAAAACTTGCTCAAATGTAGTGTTCTACATTAAAACTAATTCTGAATGTGAATTATCCTTATAAAAGCCAGATTTTCAACTTTAGCTGACACAGAGAAATATTGTTTACCTTACGAATAAAATGAAATGTCTGCACCTACAGATGACGCTGCTGATGCTTTTGCAGATAAATGCAACTTTCACGGTAGAACGCGTTTTAAATAATGGAAACGTTTTATCTGAGAGAAGCGCTGCATCTACGGTCCATTAGCCATGGGCATAGAGCTTTAAATCCAACGAGTTATGAGCGCCACACAGCCACAAGTGGAGAAACCAGATCGACTAGTGTGTGTGTGTGTGTGTGTGTGTGTGTGTGTGTGTGTGTTTGGTTGGATGACAATATCTTTATTATGATCATTACAGCTGCACAATACAATGTAATAAAGACCTGAAGGCAAAGCCAATAACAATAGTTGTTCAGTAAATGCTGACAATCAATCAGATTTGCTCTGTTAAAGCTGAATCTGGTGTGTGTGTGTGTGTGTGTGTGTGTGTGTGTGTGTGTGTGTGTGTGTGTGTGTGTGTGTGTGTGTGTGTTTCGTGTAAACTGTATTCAGTTGTAGCATTATTTGTGCTGTTCACCGTTTCTTTCAAGCATTTTAGAAGAATCTGCATCTACGTAAAGAGTGTTTTTCCATATATGATGTTCTGGATTAGGAAACTTCCTTTTTCATTAGGTGACATTTGTTTGCACTTTCTCCGAAACATACTCTTCATTTCCTCTCTAAACATAACACTGATTTCTATTGGTCAGTGGACGACTATTTATGCACTTTCTTTGAGAAATGACAAGCAGCTAATCACTTTTCCCCACTCAGTTTGCTTTTCTTGCTTCTTTTGTTGCAGATAAAAGTATTTTTTTATGAATAAGGCCAGTTGTAGTTATCACAATTTTTTGTGTAATTTTAATTAAATAGTAACAATTTTTATGCAAAAGAAGGAATTTTGGCTAAGAAGTGCTGTTTTCTGCAGCCTTCTCATGCGTTTGTGTGTGTAGCTGCATGGGCGGTAAGAGGATGAGGACTCAAAGCTGGATGTTTGCGTCTCATTAGCTGTGATATGTGATTAGAGAGTGCGAAGCCTTCAGACACAAAGCTGGCGATTGTATGCTGTAAACAAAGGGACAAAGATTAAGAGGGGGATAATCATCTCTAATTCTCTGGAGAAGCTGTGAATTGACCTGCTTGTGGGACCAGGATCACAGTCCTCTCAGCCAAACATTCAGCCATTTCTCTAATAAGGAACTGGTTAGGATCAGATCATTTTTCTGTCAACTGAAGCTAAAGATGGTCTGCTTGTTATTTCAAAACACAGCAAGATGAGATGATAAATTTCCCACAAGCACAAACTATTCCCATCATTTCTTCTGTCATTCCCTGTCACTCTGCGTTTCAGTCAAAATGTATGAACGTTGCAGGTGAAAGCAACCACGGGAGCAGACGGATTCGCTCTGTTGACTAGAGGTACAGGGGAGGAGAAGAGCTCTAGTACCTTAACTTTAGTAAGTTTAAAATCAAAAACTTTCATGTATTCATCAGCCTTTGGATGATTGTTTCTTACATTGTTGATTTTGCTCTAATGTTTGTAAATGGCCTGCATTTGTATTGTGCATTATTATGGTTCTACAGTCCCCCAAGGTGCTTCACAACACATTCAGTCATTCACCCATTCACACACACATTCACACGCTGGTGGGGACGGTGTAGCCACAGCTGCCCTGGGGCGCACTGACAAAGGCGAGGCTGCCGAACACAGGCGCCACCGGCCCCTCCGACCACCACCAGCAGGCAAGGCGCGTTAAGTGTCTTGCCCAAGGACACAACAGCAGAATACCCTGGTCAGAGCTGGGATCGAACCCGCAACCTTTCGATTACTGAACAACCCACTCTCCCTGCAGAGCTACAGCTGTCCCTTTTATGTTTTATTTGCATTTTTATTGTTTTATTTGATTTTATGGTTATTACTTTTCTCCATTTGAATGTGAAGCACTTTGGCCAGCTCCCATGCTAGATTTTAAATGTGCTTTATAAATAAAACAATGATGATGATGATGATGGATGTGATGATGATGATGATGATGATGCACCTTCTGCACTGTAACAACTCAGTCTTTAACTTTGCCTTTTTTTAATCTTATTTTGTGGTTTAAATGCAATTTTAAAATCTTCTGCTTTATGTTGTTAGGTTGATTGTAATGGTTTATGTTCTTGCTTTTTTTGCTCATGGAAAGCAATGAATTGCTTCTGTGTTGTACAACTAAAATGCAAATTGCCTTAGAATAAAATAAATAAATACAAGATTTATTAGAGAAAAATATTTACATTTCAATAATCTTTCAATCTTGAAGGAAAATTTGTTTTTCATAATTATGAATGATTCAAGAATTCATTTAATCATTAACTCGATAGACTGTATTTGCGCGGAGAAGGAAGTGATTGGGCTACTCTTTCGGACAGGTGTGTCTGTGTGTGCCGCGGATGAGGAAGTGTGCAGATGTAGTTAGATCAGACTGGCAAACTGGGATTTATCTAGCACTCATCCATAGTCTGGGTAATTCCAGTACATCCTGGAACGTGAGTGGTGCTCCAACATTTTTTGTTTTTTTAACTGTCATCCAACAGGGATGCTAGCAGTAGCTCGGGCAAGCACTAGCAGTGGCTTGTGCACATGGTAATTGCAGCTTGGGATAGCGTTAGTCGTAGCATGGATTAGCTTTAGCCATAGCTCATGCTATAATTAGCAGTAGCTCAATCTAGCATTAGCATGGGCTTGGGTAAGCGTTAATTTTCGCTTGGGCTAGCATTAGCTGTAGCACTGACTAGCATTATTAATAGCTCATGCTAGAATTAGCAGTAGCTTGGGATAGAGATCAATATTCACTTGGGTTACCATTAGCAGAAGCTTGGGCAGACATTAATATATGCTTGGGCTAGCATTAGCAATGGCTCAGGCTAGTGTTGTTCATTACCATGACCAATGTTTAAAAATTTCCAATGATGTAGGTTGGTACATGTTATTTTAAGGGTGTGTGTCGGAACGTATGATGGATTAAACCTGCTTTTCTCAGAGCAAGCTAGTTCTCTGCGGCCATTACAATGTTGTTAATTTGCATAAGAAAGAAGCTCAGATATGGTACAGGCTTTTCACTATGCTAAACACCCCAAACTGCCTATAGTCAACAACAACAGGGTAAATGTAGCTTTATATTCTAGACCTCCTTTAATGTGAAGTTTGTCTCCAAAGTTTTCTGAAAAACGTGTTACTAAAGTGTCATTGTTATTTTAGGACAAACACAATAAATTCACCTTAAAAAACATTAGAATGTCTTGAATTTATCATCTATTAGATTACACGTTACAAGCCCCAAAACACAAAAGCTGGAGGAAAAAAGAAGACATTGGGTAAAGAAAGATACAGGGGGCATTTGAGGAAAATCAAACAGTGGCACAGAAGGTAAATATACTTACAGTACAGTCCCAAGACTTAGCAAGCAGAAAAGAAAAAGAAAAATAAGCAATTACATATTGAAACCAGTCTGACAGTTGCACAGAAACACAATGGCTCAAAATATCACGACAAAAGAGAGAAGAAGAAAAAAGCTGGCCAGTTTTTTAAACTGCTGATGGGAAACTAGAGCTGCATGCCCGACTCAAAACACCAGAACATCTGTTTAAAATTACAAAACCCAAGAGGAGGAAAATACGCGCTGGATCTCAGAACGAGGCTTCACGTTGAGCTCGGTTGAGCTGCATGGATCAGAAAATCAAAGCCAGTTTACAAAAATGAGAAAATTCCTGTAGCCTTCTATTGAAATTAAGTATTGTTTAAAATTGGTGATCTCTATTTAAAACAATTTCAGTTTACTTGTAATTAAAGGTCAAGATTCCTGAGATGCAAAATAAGAAAAAAAATTGTAAAATTGCATCCAAGGATGATTTTAATCATGGAATATTTTTGTTTTATTTATTAATTCATAAAATGGATAGTCTACTAATATATTTATTTAATGCCAAATAGATAATAAAAAGAAGTACATTATTCTAAAAAATGAACACGGGAGAATTTGGGATTATTAGGATTATTAACAGGTGAATAATTACAATAACATCAAATTCAGTCACGTTAAAGAATTACCACTAAATCAAAGAGCCACAGAATAAGCATGGAGAAATTAAACACACACACACACACACACACACACACACACACACACACACACACACACACACACACACACACACACACACACACACACACACACACACACACACACACACTTATGCATCACTGTTTAAATAAAAGGTTTGTCAGGGCCTCAGAGTTCTGTGTTAACGTAATTACAGGCAGGGATTTGTCGGAGGGCTTTACAAGCTTTGCAGAAAACCTGGAAATGAAGGTTTGGTTTCGGCAGACGAGAGAACTTGGGAGTCCAGATATGACGACGGGTGATTAATGCAGCACAGTCATGTGTTTCTACAGCACTGGGTTTGACTGATAGTGACTAGTTGAAAGCAAAAATGATGAGAAAATGGGAAAAAATTTCTACTGGAATTGCACAGAATTACACATTTGAGAGAAGTTTAAAACAGGATTGCATCACATGCATACTTCTTTGTTGCAAGTTTGTCAAAAAGCATCCAAATTATGAATTATTTGTTCACATCCTTTATTTACTTTGGTTGCTGAAGTTGTCACAATTCATACTCTTTCTTAAAAACTTAAGAGGAACTTTTTCTTGCAAATTGTTTGATGTTGAGAGTCAAGCCCAGAAAGGAAATAGAAAACTCTTCCACCAGATGCGTCAGCGTTGCGTAACGTCTGCAAAAAGTAGGACGCAGAACTTGGCCGCTGTCAAAGCGAATGGGTGTGTTTTCACCGGCTGCAAAGTGTTACGTTTTGGAAGCGTCTCAGAAGCATTGCTTGGACTTTGATGAATTTTTTACGCACTATGATTCCCAAAGTGTCAAGCTCAGCAGTTCAGATCGAGCCAGACAGGAATTCAAACACAAATGCAGTGTAAAACATCCAGAAACTTTCAAAATAAAGGTCACATGCTGATTTACAGTTGCTTAATTCTTAAAAAAAAAAAAAGTACCTTACTTTCCTGTGAAACTTTTGTAGCTGAGGTAAACGGAACAGAAAATAAACTACAAACTGTTTTTGGAAACATGCTGCCATGCGTATCTCGTGAACTGCTAAAATCACACATGGCCCTTTCACGACCAGCTGTGTGGATTGCTTTGGCTGCATTCTTGCATTTGCAAAGCTCCCGGTTCAAAGACAACTTAAAGGTAAAAGACGTTTATTTTGTTACATGTCGCCTACGCATCCAGTGGAAATGTGAGGTTAGGAAAGGTCAGACACATCTTAGAAACCTTATTGAAAATGTTGTGCTAAAAAAAAGTGTTGCAAAGGTTTACTCTCAGACTAAAAACATAGCAGAATATCTCCTGGTTCTTCCTTCTTCCATTCTGACCACACACATAAATAACTTTCAGTGAGGTCATCTGTGTTTGTTTAAATAATCGTGGACTCAGAAGCCCCACCGACAGGTGAAGATTTAAAACATCCTGTAATAGTCCAGGAGGTTCATTCTTGTCAAACGGGAGCAATTCAGCTTCAAAAAGACAAACACATGTTATTTATGACTGGGATTGTGTGTGTGTGTGTGTGTGTGTGTGTGTGTGTGTGTGTGTGTATACTGATGCTAACAGGCACAGCCTTCCTTTTCACGAGTTTACCTTGAGAGAAAAACTGATTTTTGTTTGTTTCAAGGAGAAATAAAGACATTTGAAGTGTACACTATGTTTTCATGCTCAAGGATGACAGCTTGTTTGCGGTGTCTCTGTCCCGAGCATCTTGGTCCTTCCGCAAGCGGTTTCACCGTTCAGTGAAGTTAAAGAATCGGGTCAGGAGGTACAGATCACCAGAGACTATACAGGGACTGTGGAGGACAGACACCTTTAGGAGCTGCTTGGTAAAAAAAAAAAAAAAAAAAAAAAAAAAAAAAAAAAAAAAAAAACTTGGAGTGCAGCTTCAATCGCAATAAAATGCAAGTTATGTCCAAGTTAAACGGAAGTCCGCGGCACTGCAGAGACCACCCCATACCCCTTTATAATGCCATCACTTCATCTTTTGTAAAAAGGACATGATTGTGCCACATTACCGCCACAGTCTGACCACTTATTAATGAACTAAAGCTCCCTGATGCTGGTTCGACGCTGCGGCAAATTGGTGGTATTGTTTTCTAAAAGAGGCTCCTGCAAGCCTTTAGAAAACAGATTATGAGTGGAGCCAACCATTATATCCACGTTCAAAAGTGCATTATATATAATGAAATTCCTGCATACCCATTTTATGATTTTCATTCTTAGAAAGCTAACAGTTTAATAGCTTTAAGGTTTGTACTGACTTTGAATTTGATGTTTTCTCATTCATTTCTTACCAGCGGGATTAGAGAAGTCAAGGACACTGTTCGCCGGCTGCAGGAGGTCCGGGCTGCTCGATGAGAGGTTTCCAGGAATTGGCATGATGGCTACACTGTGGCGACACTGCTTGGTGCCTACGATGCTGTCGTCCTGAGACTGACCTATGCCACCATCACTAGAGGGATAAAAAAATAAAATAAAATCAGTTCTGGTAATAAACAAGAATTAAAAGTAAAGGATGTTTCTACATTTCTTGATCCTTTGTTATGGGTTTCAGGTGAAAAGTCAAGAATAAAAGCATATTAAAAACTCAAACTCATAACAGTGACATAAAAAGGCTGATTTTATCTAAATGTCCACTCTCATATAACACAACATGCTATGTGTTTTATTTTAATATGCAGCAGCGATACTCCAGAGATCTTTTTTATGAGGGTTTTTTATGAATTTCAGGGACTGATAAGACTCTTTAATAGACAGAAACGCACGCGCACACACTTTACTGATGGTTTATAACGTTGGTACATTTTTGTATTTTCATTTCGTTACAGCTTCAAACACTGATAAACTAACATAAGGCTGCCTTGAACTGCACATATGAGAAGGAAAACAATTATTTTGAGAAAAACAAACAAAAAGCTGATGTGCTGTAAAGCTTTAAAGAGACACCCCAAGTGAAATTTAATCTGTTGCCACATTCCCCAGAGTTAGATAAGTATGGAGCTAGGATTGGGACAATATTCAGCGTAACTTGTACGAAGTTTTGTAACTTCGAACATGTTTCATCCCATGTAACTTTGGATTCTTAACTTGTAACTTTGAATTTGTAACTTGTAACTTTAGTTTTCTAACTTGTAATTCTCAATTCGTACTTGTATTTCTTGTTTTTAACAGGAACATTGTATTTTGTACATGTATTTTTTATTTTGTAAAATCAAACTTTTATTTCGTACATTTACTACTCATTTTGTAACATCAAACATTCATTCAGAAACATGACACTTTCGTTTTGTAACTAGCAGACTTCCAAATTGAAAAAAATAAGGTACATTTTTGAAATCAAAACTCTCAAAACACACATTTCATTCTACAGGTACAAACCTCAAATCTACAGTTACGGATCTTTTTGTCTCGATTCTAGCGTCAGTGGGAGGAACTTGGGTGGAACCAATGAGAGCACGAGTCTTAGCTACCAATCACGTTTCTCGAATTCCTGTCCAATCATTGGGAGAGGAGGGCAGGGTTCTGTCAGAGCTGTAGAAAGAGAGAGTTACGACACTCTTTGAACTCGCGGTCACGTGGTTCATGGAGCTCTCAGTTCCAAACATCCCACAGCGCCGTAAGTCAGTTTGAACGGCGTATGGTGGGACAAATCACAAAAATTTTATATAATCACATTTCCCCTGGCGATTTGTGGTAATTATTGAATAATGTTATATATTATATTATATATTATGTCCTAACTCCTTCACAAAGTAGCCTATTTATATTTTTTCCGAGCATTTGTAGGAAGACAAACACCCGTGTAGTAATGCAACACATCAAATTTATTGCTATAGTATATTATAGTAATGTATGCGGTCTAAATGTGTTTTACAGTGTGTTAGGACTGTCGTGTTCCTGTAATGTAGAACAGTCACGGGTGTTTGTCTTCCTACTAATGCTCGGAAAAATATAAATAGGCTACTTTGTGAAGGAGTTAGGACACAATATATAATATAATATATAATATTATTCAATAATTACCACAAATCGCCAGGGGAAATTAGATTATATAAAATTTTTGTGATTTGTCCCATCATACGCGGTTCAAACTGACTTACGGCGCTCTGGGATGTTTGGAACTGAGAGCTCCATGAACCACGTGACTGCGAGTTGGCAAGTTCAAAGAGTGTCGTAACTCTCTCTTTCTACAGCTCTGACAGAACCCTGCCCTCCTCTCCCAATGATTGGACAGGAATTCGAGAAACGTGATTGGTAGCTAAGACTCGTGCTCTCATTGGTTCCATCCAAGTTCCTCCCACTGACGCTAGAAGCGAGACAAAAAGATCCGTAACTGTAGATTTGAGGTTTGTACCTGTAGAATGAAATGTGTGTTTTGAGAGTTTTGATTTCAAACTTGTACCTTGATTTTTTCAATTTGGAAGTCTGCTAGTTACAAAACGAAAGTTTCATGTTTCTGAATGAATGTTTGATGTTACAAAATGAGTAGTAAATGTACAAAATAAAAGTTTGATTTTACAAAATAAAAAATACATGTACAAAATACAACTTTTCTGTTACAAAACAAGAAATACAAGTACGAATTGAGAATTACAAGTTAGAAAACTAAAGTTACAAGTTACAAATCCAAAGTTACAAGTTACGAATCCAAAGTTACATGTGATGAAACATGTTCGAAGTTACAAAACTTGGTACAAGTTACGCTGAATATTGTCCCAATCCTAGCTCCATAGATAAGTGGGTAAAAGCATGTTGTAACCAGCCCAGTCATTCTCCTAATAATCAGGCAGTAGTCAGTTAGCTTTAGCTTAGCATTAACAATGTAAGTGAATGGTAAAAGCTAGTGTTTCATGTGAAAGTCATGAAAATTGTTTAATAATGATCCTAATTTTTTTTCATTGCAGTCCTCTGGTGTGAAATTCTCCTCACAAACCAGACATTGATTTTCTCTACGGGTGCTGTTGGATGAATTCCCTGGACAGCAAGCCATGGTCCTCTTCATTCCACATTGGATGGAATTCTGTGAAATATCGTGTTTCTAGATGTTTTTGAAAGCTTAGAAATACAAGCAAGAGCCATTTTCTTGCTTCAGAAATATAATGTACCCAAACTACCACAGTAAAAAAGTCACGCATTTATGTTTACAGAAGTAGATGTATTTTGGGGCCTCTGCATCATGTCCTTGTGCCTTACAGCAGTGGTGTTTTCCTGTAATGTAGTCCCAAATCTAAATTGGCTCCTGTAATTCCTTCATGTTACTCATTATTTTTATTTGCAGTCAATATGATTATTGAGGTCACCAAGAAAAAAAATAGGATCTTTAAGAGTAATTTTCATGACTTCTTTACTATAAATGCTAGCTGTTACCATTCACTAACATGGTTTCTGCTAAGCTAAAGTCAACAGAACACAGCTACTACAGCTTAAGAGAATGATCGGGCTGGTTACAAAATTATTTTTTTCACTTACTTTAAAACTTTAAAAAGTTAATTTCCTTCTGGATAGGGACCTCTTTTTTTTTTTTTTTCAAATCTACCCTTGAGTTATGTTTCTGCACTATTTGTTCCATAACAATAAGACCAAACAGGGGAAAGAAAGATGAACATAAAAGGCAAAAGTGACTGAAGATCAGACAGGAGAAGGTAAGCATCAACATGATGAAGAAGCAGGAAGAAAAGGCAGCGAATCCTTAGCAAGCAGAAAAATGTCTAACACAGATAAGGAAAGTAAACTAAGGTTCATGTATTCAGAAACGAGAGTCAAGACAAAGACCCAACAAAGATAAAAGGTTGATAAGAGCAGATGGAAAACTTTCAGACCTTTCCCATAAAGTAGGTGGATACATTCTGGCCTGTATTATTGGTAAAAAAAATCCCTACAGCATGATACTACTACCAACGTGTTTGTCTATAAGTAGTAATATTGCCTGGTTCATTCAAGCTCATAGTGAGAGCGGTTTCATTGAGAGGTCAGCTGGTTTATTTGTGTATTTTACGGGGGATAATATGTATTTTCTATTTGAAAGCAAATTATATAATAATAATAAATAAAAATCTGTGATAAACATTGGTTCGACTGAACCTAAAAAAATCTACAACACTTCCTTTGTAATAATAATAATAGTTTAGAAAAGCATTGTTGCTTTAAAAGTGTGAAACAGTTGTTAAATCAATACATTTGCAGTGGTCTAGTAGTAATGAATGCCATGTAAGTTGTACTCGGGGAAGAGGGGCAAAAATCACTGGTGCACCACTTCCAGGAAGTAGAAGTTTCCCACATCACAGCTGAGCTTCAGACGGCAGGATTTGGAGTCTTATTTTCCAGATATTTGGACATCTGGCCAAAGTCGTCATTTGAATTTTTTTACTGTGTGGGCGTCGGAACGAGCCCCCGCACCGTGAGAACAAACATCCCAGCTCTAAAGCCGATCTTCATCCACATACGTCACACGTCACGTGATCAGGAAGCAGAAAATCCATGTGTTAGGAGATCGTTTTGGGCCGCTGCTGTAAAAAAAAAAAAGTGAGGAGCGAACTGGAAAAGCTTCTGCCGATCACAATTTAACAACGGATTATGAAAGAACGGATAACGCTCGCAACACACTGATTCTTCCTGATGAGGTGAGTTTACTCTGTGTTTTGTTAGTTGTGACGTCGACATCGTCCTAGCGCGCAACGTTCTGTGACTCTTAAAAAAACCTGTAAAACTTTGAAAAACACTGGCAGCGAAGGGCGTTTCTGATCAGGAAACGGCTGGCAGTGAATGAGTTAGGTTACATGTCATGTGACTAATTAATGTTAATAACCAAACAGCTCGTTTCTGTGGAGTAGATTTAGCCGAGAAGTAAAAAACGTCCAAAGTTATCTATTTACAGAATTGCAAAAACTGTCAAATTCATTTGGGATGCCAAACACCCTGACTTCAAAAAAATAAAAACAAGTATAAGTGTTTCCTAAGAGGCTGGTAGAGTCTTTGTTTGACAGCCTGCTGTGTGCAGGTCTGCAGATGGATGCAAAACATCATGGCTGCAGGGTGGTGAATTACACAAGAGGTCTTACCCAAACAGGCCCCTGAAGCAGCAGAGACAGGCAGAAGAAAGACAACATTTAAACACATGAAAATAAAACAAACTGCTGAAGAGTGTGAGTAGGACAGTCGTCTTACAGCATTTATTTTAACAGATTATTAAACACACAAGTCTGAATAAATAAATATAAATGAAAATGTCAGACATGATTTTAAAATGACACTAAAACAACATGAGATGTCAGAAAGTATCGGGGGAATAAACATCTTTTCATTTTCTTCATTCCATTTATTTGAGCACAGGTACGAAAAGTTAAATCAAATTTCAAAGGAAAATTAATTTTTAAAAGGGATATTAATATAGCCTGGCAAGCCAGATTAAATAAATGTATTATTTAAACTTTGCAAAGCAAGAATTTGGTCTAGTTCACTAGGCTAATATTAATACTGAATCTATGAACATTTGCACGGAGGCGCATTACCGCCAACGTGGGGAAAAATATAGAAGTAGTATCTTGTAAAAGCGAGAATGCTTCTTGTTATAACGTGAAACAAATCTCCCTTTAACACAAAAGTTTCTCGTAATAATAAGCAACAAGACAGCCCTCATGTGGATTTCTTCTCTGCATACATTTGTGGTACTTCCTCTTTCTAGTAGAGGTGCAACTTTTAAAGTAGAAGTTGGCTTCCCGTTTGAGCGTTTTCACATTTAAAATCTTTGAAATAATTTTACATTGACAAAATATTACACAAAAACTGCATGTCCTGATAAAACATTTAGATATGGTCCCTTTATTTGAGAAATCTGTGGATGTTCTTGACATTGTGAGCCTGTTACACTATATGAAGAGCTGTCGGTCTGCTGCCTTGGCAACAGGGTGTGAGTGATGGAGCTAGGAGAGAACAGGGCTAGCGAGTGTAATTTGTTGATTTAAACACCAATGTTCTGAGGTTTGCCTCCCGTTTTGCAGCTTTGCTGCTGCTGTGCTTCCTAAAAGTTAAGAATCAAGAACTGGATTAATACATAAATTTGGAGTAGAACACCACAACTTATAACTGTCATTTTTCCATTATGACTTTTATCGCTCTTGCGAGATCGTCGTTGTCGTCTTTCTCCGCTTATCCGGGTCAGGGTCGCGGGGGCAGCATCCCAACTAGGGAGCTCCAGACCGACCTCTCCCCGGCCACCTCCACCAGCTCCTCTGGCAGGACCCCAAGGCGTTCCCGGACCAGATTGGAGATGTAACATCTCCAACGTGTCCTGGGTCGACCCGGGGGCCTCCTGCCGGCAGCACATGCCCGAAACACCTCCCCAGGGAGGCGTCCAGAAGGCATCCTGACCAGATGCCCAAACCACCTCAACTGAATCCTCTCAATCCGGAGGAGCAGCGGTTCTACTCCGAGTCCCTCCCGAATGTCCGAGCTCCTCACCCTATCTCTAAGGCTGAGACCGGCCACCCTACTGAGGAAACTCCTTTCGGCCGCTTGTATCCGCGATCTCGTTCTTTCGGTCATTACCCAAAGCTCATGACCATAGGTGAGGATTGGGACGTAGATTGACCGGTAAATGGAGAGCCTGGCTTTCTGGCTCAGCTCCCTCTTCACCACGACAGATCGGCTCAGCGTCCGCATCACAGCAGATGCTGAACCAATCCGCCTGTCGATCTCCCGATCCCTCCTACCCTCACTCATGAACAAGACCCGAGATACTTAAACTCCTCCACTTGAGGTAGGACCTCTCTCCCGACCCGGAGTTGGCAAGCCACCCTTTTCCGGTCGAGAACCATGGTCTCATATTTGGAGTTGCTGATCCTCATCCCAGCCGCTTCACACTCGGCCGCAAACCTGCCCAGCAAGAGTTGAAGGTCAGAGCTGGATGAAGCTAGGAGGACCACATCATCCGCAAAAAGCAGAGACGAGATTCTCCTGCCACCAAACTCGACACACTTCACACCACGGCTGCGCCTAGGAATTCTGTCCATAAAGGTAATGAACAGAACCGGTGACAAAGGGCAGCCCTGGCGGAGTCCAACCCTCACCGGGAACAGGTCCGACTTACTACCGGCCATGCGGACCAAACTCAGATTATTACATGAAACTTTCTTCTTAAAACAACTTTTAGATGTCGCTATTATGAGAAAGTTTAATTAAAACTAGATTTCTGTTATGTTATAATGAGAGATGTTCTCTTTTTATGAGATTATTTTCCCCTTGCATTGATAGCAATGTGCTTCCATACATTTGCAGATGATGTAACTGTAGTTCTGACAGCTGACCTGAACTTTGACCACGTTTTTCTCTGTTCTTTTGTAATTCAATTACTTTAAAACACAGAAGGATGGCTTCTTTATCTTTACCTTTTTTTCTGTTAATAAATATGATCATTTGAAAACTGTTATTTATGTCTTTATTTAACTAGACTTTTAAAACAACCAAGCAAAACCATAATAAATGCAGAGAAAATGTGAAATTAACCTAAAACTGGGCAGATGTTTCTGTGCGTTCTCACCAGTCTGCATTTTTTAAAAACCCTTTCTCATGCGATCACAAAAACATTAGACTGCATTGCAGCAGCCCCTCCCCTCGCATCATTATCCAGTAAAAGGTGCTGGTGAATCTTCAATGACCCTAATCACCTGGCTTGCTTTCATTCTCATCTCCAGACCCTTTAATCAGAGTTTTTTATTCTTTGAACTTTGAATAAAAGAGCAAAGAACCCCTTGTTTGGGTGATAAATAGATGACAGCGGAGAACCTTTGAAAGCTGGATCAAACAGCCGTGTGATTGTGTTTGAGATGGCACACGTTTGTTTTTTTTTTGTTTTTGTGTGTGTGTGTGTGAACTCTGTGAGTTGATGCACTCAATCAACCGTGAGCTGTAAAGGAGAGGACATACATGACGGTGTGTGTGCAGGGAAGTGTGTGTGAGAGAAAGAGTTGCACTGAATTAGTTTGCCCTTCAATGAACCGAGAACGAGAACAGTGTCTGCTGCCTTTCTTGCACTGACACCCCGCGGAAGTAAATGAGGCCTGGAGAGGAATGAAATGATGAAATTAAATTTTATTTGTGTCGCCACGTTACGGGTGGAATATTGAATATGAGCCTCGTCTGCACAGTCGCTTCGATCTGCTGATTATGGAAGCCGCTAACGATGGTTATGCGAGGATGATGACGCCTTTTTAATGTCTAATTTGCACTGAAGTGGTTTAATTTACAAAAGCTGTGGAAAAGTGTTAAATTAAATGACATTTTTATAGCAAACTCTGACATGATACGGCAGGGGTAAGGAAAATAAGGTGAAAATTAAAAGTTTTATTTAAAATGCTCAGTTTGTCAAAACTAAAAGAGAAGTGGAAAATGTGCTAACTGCTACAATTTTAATTTATATTTTTCTATTTTCATTTGCAAGCTCCTACCTGAACGGTTTAGGTGGCAGAATGCTGAAGCGCGTCTTCTCCAGCATCTTCCTGATCTTGTTCCGTCCTCCCGACACGGTGTTGGCTTTCATTTTCCGGGTACTCTTGTGGTCCGTAGGGAACTCCATGTCTCCAGGGAGGTCGGGTATGGAGAAGCGGTTGCCTTTTTTCTCTTGGATCTTAGGGATGTGAGGACCACCGTTCTTCTTTTCGTGCATGATCCTGCTGAGGAGCTCTTTGAAGACTGGATACAAACAGGAAGATGTCATCTACTACGTATGTTTGGGACATTTTTGATATCTGCAAAACGTTCACTCACCAAAAATGTTGGTTTTCACAGTGATGGAGAGGTGTGTATTATTTCTCAAAATGTCCACAGCTTTGTTGAAGGAGATGTTCTCAAAGTTCTGACCGTTGACCTCCATGATCTGAAACAAAACCACTACTTACTGGGATTTTTCTGGGAAGTTTTTATTTTTAATTTGAATCATTATGTCAAAAAGTTAACCGCATAGCACATTTGTGTACTAAATGACACAAGAAAGGAAGTGTGTAGTTCAGTCGCCTTCAGAGGACTTATGTGGATTAAAAAGATCTGATTGAGCTCACAAGAGGGAAAATGGATAAGTGTAAAAATAGGGCTAAAAAGAAAGCTACTTGGATGCTTTTAACTTCCTACTCACTGCAACAAACTGAAGATCGAAACTTGCTGCGCTGTAATTGTGAAATAAGGAAGTGCGCACACTTTAGGAGGCTAAACAAAAAAAAAGCTATGCTTTTTTTAAAAATTAGAGTTGTCCTAACATAAGAAACAAACCAAATCTTTACCATTTTCAACTTTCACTGCGCTGCACAGTGGGTCACAAGTCCTGCATGAACATCAGGAGTCACTCTGACCTCATCTGAGCTTTGCTACTGATAGTTTGTCAGCAGTTTTCACAAAGTTCACACACAGATTAGTCAAATGTAAGCATTTGTATCCTGCCTGCTTCCTGTCGTCGTGGCTAGGACGGAACTTCTACTGAATTTTTTATTTATCCATTTCAGTGAAGATCCTGTGAAATACATTTGAATAAAAAGCTGAAAGTAGACGATCAGACGGATTAAAAATATATTATTCTCTTTACCTCTTAATGAGTTAAAAATTCATAAACTCCAGATTATCATAATTAACTAACATAATTTTTGAATTTCTTCCTAAATCTTCCAAAGTGTTCTGGTACAAGAATATTTACTCCAGATTTTAAAAGTCTACTTTACTGATATTTTTGATACATTTGCAGTAGTCTCTAGTAGAAATGAATGTCTTTCAAGACATTCTCTGGGGAAACAAAGCTCTGGTGCACTTGTTTGAGGATGGAGAATTCAGCCAGAGGAGAAAGTAGCCTCAGAAGACTGGATTTGAAGTCTTATTTCCTGATATTTGGACGTTGGACGCTTCTACCAGCAGAGACGTTCTCTACTAATTCCTGGACGTTGAACCAACAACAGCCTTCCCTGCCGTGAGGCAAGACGGGTGAGTCCATGAATGTTAAGTGAAGCCTGATTTATACTTGTGCGTCTGTGCGGAGACACGCAACGCTATTATGCGTGGGCGCAAAGACTCTCCAACAGACTCACAGAGGGTGACGGAGACATGCCCAAAATTTTAAACATCTGTCGAAAGTGATGGAGACCACAAACTTGTAACTGGTCAGGACGCCGCTTCCGCTATATTCGTCACCAGCACCGCTGTAGCTCCGTTAAACAGTAAACAGATATTCAGCGGCAGACCCTGAACAGATTGAAGAACGAATCGCGGAAAAAGTCTAAAAATATTAACATTTATTCCCCGTGAGTGAGGGAGTACAAAATATGGAGCAAACGCGGACAGGAACAACGGGAAATGTGGGTTTTGAGGTGGCGACCGCATACAAAATTGGAGGAGAATGAAGGAAAAAATTGTCTGTCTTATAAAGTCCTGAAATATATAAATACATGAATAAATACACTATCGTGGACTGGGTACATGAGTGTTATGGTGGCAGGATACCACAGAACAGTGCTACGCCCTCTGTTGCCCTGGCGGGGAATTGCTTTGCAACTCTCCGCTGCCTGAACAGGAGTTCGAATGTGAAAAACGTTCCGACACTTCATGTACATCTCTCCGTTGCAAAGCTCATGGAGAAGTATAAACCAGGCTCGACAGTGTGATGTAGATCTATCAGGCTTTTCATGTCCTAGAGTTTTGCTGTATTTTCTATCAGAAGCTAATGCAGGAGATAAATGTAGGAGACTATTTTCATGTTTAGCCTGCATTAAAAACTCAGAATGACCAATTATAACCAGTAATATTCATTGAAAAATGTTTTCAGTACAGTTAATTGTTTAGACTAATACAACTAAGCACAAACTGCTGGAATTAAGTGTCTCACCGCAGCCTGAGGGTGTTTCTCATTGAGGGAATAATTAGCCCATTTTGGCCACTGAACACAAATTGCTCTCTGATGGATTTGCATTGTTTTTTTTTCTTTTGATCTTACAAAAATGAAATCACCAATGAAGAGTATTAAATCCAAAAAAATCCACCTAAAACACATAAAACAACAGCACACTGGTAAGGCGGGGACAGGAAAGTGAGAAAACGGCAGTCGCGCAGATAGGGTGGGGGACGGGGGGAATCTGTCCCCCCCCCCCGATTCAGATCGCTTTGGAGTCCTTACTCTTGAGACACGCTATACAAGTGCGGATTATTTATCATTTATAGTGTTGATCAGGCAGAGCTTTGTTGCCAGCGTTCCACTGCATAATGGCTTCAAACACGTATATAAAGGTTAGTTTTTACGTAAACCATTGGATGAAATTACACAAACTGACTGAGCTCTAGTTAAGGCGCTTGCAATAGTTTGTGTATGTGTATGTGCGTGTATGTGTGTGTGTGTATGTGTACGTATGTGGTGTGTGTGTGTGTGTGTGTGTGTGTGTGTGCGTGTGCGTGCATGTGTTTGGGGGAGGGTACATTGGAACTTTGTCCCCCCAGTTTGAAAATCCTATGTGCGCCCCTGGAAAACGGTGTGACCTTTAGTAATCAGACCAAATGTTCTAAATACTGTGTATATTTTTAACTAACAGAGTGAATTATACAAAAATAAAAGCACCTGCTTACAGTAACCCAAATGGCTGAGTGATGGATTCACCAAATTATGTCATATTACTGTATGTTTCCCCACCTGATCTCCCCGCTTCAGCCCAACATCAGCAGCTTTGCTGCCTTCTTCCACCGATTCAACAAAGATGCCAAACCCTCTTTCGCTGCCGCCTTTGATGCTGAAGTAGAGTGGTGACTCCCTGGTCGCTTTCTGCAGAGTGATCTGTCTCCACTTTGCCTTGGCTGCACACGCAATGTTCAGCAACCTCAGATGGCCCTTCATTTTCTACCATGGAGAGAGAAATCAGGAAAAAACCCAAACTGGAGTCATACCAAATCTGACAGTTGGTCTCTAAGGTGGGTTTGGAAATAAAAGATGTTTAGATTTATTTCTGAAATATTATAAAAGGTTTCAACTTTGATGTCAAGAAAAGTGAAAATGCGGCTCAAAAACGGGCTAACTGACAAGTTTAAATGTTGTTCTTACTGCAGTTTCAAGATGTTTCTCAAAATCCTCCAGGAACTGTGTCATGGCGGGGTCACCCTCAAAGTCATTGAAGTGGTTGTTGACCCACAGCAGAACTATTCTGGTTACCTGTGAGAAACATTGACAGCTTGATTCAGAGGACAGGCGGCGTTCTTTTTCTGTTCACTTTTTCATCTGTTTGAAGCATCGATGCTATTCGCGGACGAGTTTTGTGCAGAATATTTATAGGAACAGGTGAGAAGTCTTTCTGTTTTATGCTGCAGAGCATCGTGTTTTGGAAGTCACTTAAGGACACTTTAGGTGTTAAAGAAAGTGACGAAGGTAATGCAAAAAGATTTTGTTTAACCAATGAAAAAGACTTATTTCCACATCTTAGTACTTTCTGTTTGCTCTGAACATGATTAGATCCGCTCTAGGAGGGCAAGGATTATGAGCCTGACTGACAACTACATAAAGACTATTGACAGTACAAGACTAATCTTAGGTTAAAGCTGTTATGGACGACGGGAGCTTCAGGCATGAGCGAATCGCTACTTGGCTCAAGGACAGCTGAGCTTGCTGTACTCGTATTGATTAGCAGGTGAGCGGCGCAACACATAAATATCCTCCAACGAAAGCAAGAGAAGAGCTGACAGAAGCATAAAGACTGCTACTTAAAAACACATATCTTACAATAGGATGGATGAAAATACACTTAAAAACATATTTCTTGAAAAGGAAAAAAAATGCAACCAACCTTCCCAACTGAAGCTAAAGTCGGAGAATTAGAAAGCTAAACCCTAAACCTGTTAGTGATTAAAGATGAGCTCAGAGTTCCCTAACAGTAACTACACACACTGACCGTGTCCCTGAGGCTGTCCACCTGGAACCACTCCAGCAGCTTCTTTCCAACCTCCATTGGACTCGACAGGAAGGTCCTGTAGGTCAGCAGGAAGTCCTCAATGTAGGTTGGGTCCACCACTGACGGCTCTTCCACCAGGTGCATGATTAGGCGCTCTGGGGTTCCCTAATGAAAAATAAACACATATGCAGAACACACTCGCTGGGAAATCATGGCACAAACACAATTTGGATTTGATGATGTCATTAATATTTGCAGTACAAAATATAAAGCTTTTGAATAGAGCTGTCAGCCATGAGTTTTTAAAGAACACATTAGTAAATATGAGATCTGAGACGTTAGAAGTATAACACAAGATTGTTTTAGGAGTATGAAGTAAGAACGACACCCTGTGGCCAAATGTGGGTACTGCAGGCCATGTATCAAAACAAACAAGTCAGATATGAGCAACTGTTGCCAGTCGCAGATCAGCACCAGAAGATTCTAGATTACAAGCGAAGACGAGTCATGAACAGTGAGTTGATAATTAGATGAATGATAATTAGATTAATATATTTCACTGTAATATTGAGTTGTTTTTAGAGCCAACTATTAATTCACTGTTAGCACTGAACGTTAGCCTCTAGCCTTCTATGCCCAATATTACAGGAAAAAAAAAAGAGGATGCAGTGGCTTCTTAGGTTTACAAGAAATAACTTGTGGGCTGCTCCTTTTACTGGCTGACATTCTTTCCACAAAGCTCCTGCACTGCTGGCGAATGCTGCAGACTTGGCAATCCCATGAACTCATGTGATTGGCTCTGGAACCAGGAAGTACAGATTGCAAACAAAAATTGACGACCACTTAAGCGCCCGAGAAGGAAACCTGTTTTAATGTAGCCTTCCTACCAACATGAATGAGGCACTGGACTGTTTTGTGATTATTTCACTGTAAACGTATTACTTATTGCACCTTTAACTCAAACAAGTATAAAGTGTGAAACATCAAGTATCCTTGTATCAGCGAGTTCATTAGTGTCACTGCGGCACAGGTTTCTGCGGGAAACGATTCATTCAGCAGGGAACAGAAACTAGAAAGACATCCATTTTTTGTCTGACACAAAAAGAACAAAGTCAGAACGGAGAAGCAGAAATGCTAACACTTGTGAATTGACTCGTCTCCACTGGATGTGTTCTAAAGCCAACAGCTTTTCTCCGAGCGGCAGCCAAGAGGATCATTCAGGCCTATTATCGGATCGATACCTGGCTGCCCTCTGGAGCTTTAGGGAAAGGATCAAAAGGCTTGGGGGAGGCAGGGGCTATCTAGCATACAAGAAAATGCTCCAGCAGACAATATACTGCCAGTGGGGCTTCGCTACAATCATTAAAGAAGATTGAGGAGCTGCACTCAGGCTTTTTTTTTTTTTTTTGCAAGGAGATGTTTGGTGAAAATGGGGTTAAATAAATCTTAATAGAGAAAAAAATATGTTTGGAATCCAATTAAAACAAGATGAAAAGCTAATTATTTTAGCATTAAGTAAGTTGGATCTCTTTCTGTCTCATCCTGGGCAGGAATCAAAAAATAATCTATTCCCGGATTAACAGACAAAAATCTATTTTTCAGATCTAATCCACAATTTGCAAAGATGCTAATCACATCCATGTTCACTCTGGTCATGTCAGATGTAAAGCGTAAACCTCAGCAGATTTAAATGAGGTACAAACCCACTGGATCGTCTAAAGCAGAAAACTTCTCATAAATCACAAACCTTGATGACAATGTGCCCCTTCCTGGTGCCGCTGCGATCAAGCTCTCGGTGCTCCTTCACCATGACAATCTCCCCCTCCTCCTCCACCTTGTGTGTGTTCTTCTCCACATGGTTTAGGATACGCCAGTAGTCCTCCTGGGCGATGCAGACGAACTGGTCGAGGATGACATGAGGACAGCGGATGAACTTGTAGTAGAGCACAATGCTGCTCTGAACCACGGCCGGATACTCAAAAAACAGCACAGAAGAGGCATGAGGGTAGGCAAACTGAGGCATGAGAGGAACTGATGGAGGGGGGAAAAAACAAAAATGTCCCAAAAAGATAATCTCATGTGAACTAAAGAAAAACTGAAGGCTCAGTTTGAGAAGAGATGGGAGTCCCAGCTAGCCATTCTGCAGAGGCCTCCTTTAACAGATGATCAAGCCTCTCATGCTGTCTCAGAACAGAAAGTGCAAAGACATGACACTCGGACTTCTCCAGACTAAATCACTAAGCACTACCTCTGCAACTTCCTGTTTGTTCATGGTAAGGAAATGATGTGTGCAGCAGAGAGGAACT